ATCCTAACCCTAACCCTATCTCCGGAACCATAGGTCATAGCTGCCGGCCACTGCCACCAACAGAAAGAGCACCCCTGAAAATGGGGGGGTAGCCAAAGTCCCGAGTCTCTGGCACCGCGGGAAATAGCSTGTCCGCAGAGCCGGACGCGGACACGCTTGGCTATTATCCCCTTACCTGAACCGAACCCTAAAGCCGTTACGCCCTGCACCATATGTGCTGACGCCACACACGTGATGCTTAGAGTGGGCCCAGTTGATTGCAATGTACACAGTGGTGGCGTAGCTTGCACCAGGCAAAGAAATCCTCCATTTCCTAGTCTCCCCTCTGAAATACAACAATAGAATGAAATACAACAATAGAATGAAATACAACAATACAATTAAATACTTGTACTACAACTAATGGTAACTGTACTGATGACATGATGGTCGTGTAATTGTTACCAACAGTATGTAATAATAACAGTATATAATGATAACATTTATAATATATTCAGGAGGAACGATTTTCACATCCACACTTGGGGAAATTTTCACTTCTGACCGCTCCATTCGCTTTTAATGGGGAGTCGTTAACCTTAACCCTAAACCCTAACCCTTTTGTGCTGCACCCCTACTAACCCCTACTATTTTTTTCAAAAACCTACTGATGTGGGGAGAAGTTGGCTCATATGAGGCAAGTTTCCTGTGAGAAACTGATCAGGGAAGTTCCTTAAACAGACGATGGTTGATGTTTCGCACCAGCTCAAAAAGTGAATTTGAAAAGAGTTTTTTTTCCTGTTTGCAGATTCTGTGAAACAGATTTGAAGATGGTGGCAATCCTCTTGTTACTCAGGCTCCTCTTTGTTTCAGGTGATGTATTAGTTAAGTTACTTGGATCAATTACAACTGTAGATTTTCAGCTAAAGGAGAAGTACTGAGAGATGTAACTGACAAAGGTTAAATGCAACATGACACACGATGTTCAACTTTCTCTTTTTGCTGTGTTTCCAGGAGCTTTGGCTGCTTGTTCTTATAAAAAATTCTGCATCACTGCACCACAGATGATAGAAGCTCTACATGGATCCTGTTTGCAGATCCCTTGTAACTTTAGTTTTCAACCAACACAGGACTTTGCAGGAAAAAACATTGGTGTGTGGATTAAAGGGGACCCCAGATTTGAAACATTTCCACAAAATGTGATCTTCAATGGCAGCAGGACAGAGAACGATCCAGTGAAGATTATCGGAAACCTGAGCCAGAAAAACTGCACCAGTGTATTTAACAATTTGAACAAAACCTACACAGATAAATTCTTCTTCAGAGTTGAAAGACAAAATTTCCGTGCAACAGCTGTTTGTTGCCCTCTTCAAATAAACGTTACAGGTAAGACAGAGTTTTATTTTCAAATGAATTCAGCAAACAGATTTTATTTGCACAGCACTTATCATCACATCTCCTTACTCTTGTTGAGGGTTAACAACAGATGATGTCACACCTTGTTAAGATCTATGAGACAAACTATGATTTGTGAATATGGGCTATAGAAATAAAATTGGATCATACAAACACTGTAACATAAACTGGTTTACAAAATGAAAAGATATGATGAATAAATGATTTTAAAAAACACTATGCCCTTTTGCATAAAGAGGAAGAAAAGGTTTTCAGGAAGTTTGCAGTTCTCATAAATTTTAAATGAGGAAATGCCAAGGTCAGTAAAAAAAGATGTTGAAATG